GCAAAATGCGACGGACGACGGCAGATATGGAATTCTATATATTTAGTAAGTATATATTTTTGTAGTAATGTGTCTCACATGTTTGGGAACTTTGGTCAGTGTAAAAAGTTTCTTGTATATCCCCTTTTGTAAAAATGGTTAAGCTCAGAAGTTTCCACCAATAGCAGTATTAGTATACTATCCTGCATTATCTCAGAACTATACTCAGGATGTGCGTTACGCAACAGTCTTTTGCACCCAGCAGCTTCTTGGTATTATAGTCAGTGGCTTTTTCGGTAGCCCTGTGGGTTTTTGTCTCTCGAAGTAGCGTTGGCAAAAGCCATGGTTGTTTAAATTAGGTGCGATTCTGTAAAAACACGAATCCAGGTGCTGTACAAAATTTACTAAGGAATTGTTTTAAAATGTGTGATTTGGGCGTGTGAGGGTGTCAGATGAGTCGAGGTAGAGCAGATCAGATCAGATCTTGACAGAAGACAGACGTATAGTGTGTTTGATGTTTGTAACTTTAGCCACCAGGCGAAGCAAGCTACAGCAGGCTTTTTCTTCAGCGATCCATAGAGAGACAGCACTTCAAAATAATAGCTTGATTTATCAAGATTTTGTAAGCATTTTTGGCTCTGTGAAAACACACCGAAGAATTTTGCAGTTCTGTAAAGCAAACAACCGCAAGTGTTATTGTGAACTAATTTTATCTTATAAGAGTCTGAAACACTGAATTCATTGACTTGACAAAAGTGGATTGATTTAAGGAGTTGTCAGTATTAATGTTGCAGAAGGTTAAATTATGGATAGCACGTCGACATTTTAATTTACCGAATTTTGCGGCAAGAGAGAGTTGCTAGAGGAGCTATTGAACGTAAAGTGTTCTTTTGGTTATTACCAAATAATTGAACAAAATTTGTCATGTGGAATATGGTTAAATGTTTTTAATTATTAGATGGCTTGAAGTTGGGGACCAAACCCAAGATACTGAGATTGATTGGGGCTGAAGCTACTCCGACCAAGTAGGGACCCAACCTAGAGCTACACACAGAGGCTGTAGGACACCCGGAGGTTGTGTTGTTTCCAAGGATCGTAACAGACTCCAACAAGTTGCGGTCCCTATATCCTTAATCTCCGAATCTAGCTCCCTTTCTACAAAGAGTTAAACTCAGAACTGTAATAAAGAGAAGCTCCGTATCAATTTTTAATACAAGTCAACTTAATAGTTGCCTGCAGGTTATATAAACCACAATAAAGAAAGTGAAGATTTATGTATGCTCTTTGCCGAATATTACACATTAACGAAATGTTTGTAAATATTTGTTAATTTATGTGAATAGACTCTTGAGAACTAAGCAGAAAGTCTCTGGTGTTTCCTGTCGTTGTTGGATTTTAGATATATTTAGTTGCAGACAGAACGTACGCATAGTTCTGGGAAATATCAAACACTCAGGTGCCCTTAAAGAAAAAAAATCTACTCAAAATACCAGGCGTTTCAGGACCAAACTGGTAAATTGATAAAGGGTGGTTTACTTCGGGGGCTATACTTAAAAGAAAACAGACCATAAAACAACTTTTTTGAACGCTGTAAAATATAAGATGCATATTTAATGAATTTGCATTTGTTCACTATTAGGCTAAATCTGTTCAGCACCATTATCATTTAAAAGTACTTCTAAGTCATCTCACTCATTATGGTCCAAGAAGGGAATCAAGACAATTTTCTTGTAATAATCCTCTGCACTGGCGCAATCTGGGTTTGCTCTTCGCGTCTGTCTCCTTGCCAGTCGAGCAGCTTTTCATCAGCTCCCATGAATCTTCAGCATACCACTTTCTGTGAAAGGTGTCGACATTATAGTTGCATACCTTAAATTTGAAGCCCATGATTTGGGCTCCGTGCACCTCAAAGCATTTGGCCATTTTCTGAGCCACTTTCTGAGCAAATTGTTTCATTTCGGCAGCTGCCGCAAGCACCTGTCGGACCGTGAGTTATCAAGAAATGAAATGGAGACCGAAAACTCAGTATAAATTCTCATTGATATCTGTTACAATTATAGGGTCTATTATTCATTCCAAAGCGGTTGACATCCATTTCTCTAAACTTAGGAAGAGATCTTCTTTCGAAGGAGCGATAAAAAAATCCCTGAACACTCCCCCAAACAGCGTCTGCAAATCACTAACTGGAATGCCTACAAGACATATTTTAATGTAGATGAGCAATTTCGGCAGTAGTTTGCTAACGTTTGGACATGGAACACCATCTCTTTCCTTAACTCACAACAAGAGGCACCACGGAGGACTTTATTTTCATGTTTTATTTTAAATTCGTTCATACTTGTAGCTTGGCAGCCCTTTACAAGTAGTACATACTGTCGAAGACGTACGCCAGCGAGTATCCGACACCCAGCATGCCGTGATTGCCCATAATCAGGAAGTCGTTATCGCCTAGGTTGCGAGCCAACCACGTGTTCTTTGCCTCGCCCTCGTACGCCGTACCCCCCGTGCGACCTGTCGTAGGCCACTCTACCTTAGACACACATGGTGTGCTGATTGATGTTGCGCAACTCGGTTGCTCCAGACAGCCCGAATGATCAGAAGCGATGATGTCGACAAGACAAAGTGAAGCAATGAAGAAAATCGGTTAGAACAACATAGCATCAAAAGCTCACAAGACAGCCCAAAAGCTCTTTGATCTCCGTAGAGCGGCAAACTTTAAGCCAATCACAGCGAAGCGGTACAAAAAACAGTCAGCAGAGGTTCTGTGCATATGAATAAGCAGACTTTGACCTTTTAAAACAAATGCACTGTTACCACATGTGTACGCATGAACCAACCCCCCCCCCTCCTTTTTCAAAAAGAATAACGTAGAAAAAGGAAAGCACACTCATGCAACACAGATTTCTGAAACAGATTAGTCATTCTGTAAATTGCAAAGTAGACCCTACTCCGCAAGACACGTGCCTCATATTCCCGAACCCATTAAGACGAACCAAAGCATTACAGCATTACATAATTTGACTGGACAGTCGAGGCAGGGCCAGAGATGCTGAGGTCGTGAGGACTGAAAATGATCAAGTAGATAGTATTAATCGGGAAAGAAGTTGGACTTCCTCTTCTAAAATGCAATCAATGTTACAGAATCAGAACAGATATGTAATTGACATACTGAGCAGCATTGTGTAAAACTGATGTCTATGCATGATGCAGTTGACCGTGTTCGCCTTTGCTCTTGTAGATGACAGTGTGGATGTTGGCTGCACTGGGCTCTACGTCACCGTCACCCTCAACAACTTTGCCCGTCTGAATGTCCACACCTATTAAACAACTGACCGTCACCTGCAGTAGAGATAGTCATATGCCATCAGCTGGAACACTGTAATTCCAGGGTTGTCGTCAAACCACTACCAACAGCTTGTATTGTCGCCCATGCCATCGCCGCTACAGTTAACCATTATTATTTAATATCTCTACTTTGACTTCTACTATACAATTTTACATTACTTCCCAATCCAACCAACATCAGACTCTGCTTTCTTGGTTCAGATCACTCACAGACAATTTTCATTTAATGTCAATTTTGTCCCCTTTGTAAATTTGAAGGTACTCCTTTGCAAGCTGCACTCGACTAAGGCACCCCACTCCTACCTCACTCCAGTGCAAGCCATAGGGTATCAGCAGCGTTATGTCCCCGCAGCCACTCCGCTTCCTTCACCCATTCTGTAGAAGTCCAGTCTGCTGTAAACTGCCGCAAGGTCCTTCCCGTGCCTGCTGGTTAGCGGCGTAAGGATGAGCCGATGGCATGGCGAGACTCTAGTTGGAATGAGGAACGCAATTGGGTAGTACAAAATCTGTACCCTAAATGAGCCCAAAAGTGCATTTCCTTTGTGCATTTCCTTTCGAATTTGCCTCACCCCGACACCAAAAGCTGGATACGCCACTGGCTAGAAAACGCTGGATATGTGAAAGTTACCGTACCTATCCTCCGCACGTCTAATGGTCAGTAGGAATTATTCTCAAAAACAATTACAAAAACTTATGTTGATTTCTGTGCACACGAATCTCCTTATTAAAAGATAATTATACTTGCAAAATCATGAACATGCAAATTCTCAAATAAAATTGGCCTTTGAGAAGAACATTAATTTAAGGATGAGGACGATTTGATAAACCTACAAATTTTGGAAAAACGGGACGGAAAAAATCCCACTATTTGTAGACCCCACCCTCCAGATAAATTCGAGCTGGAAACGCCCTTCGTCTCTAATGGACATGAAAACGTAGACTTGGAGTCGAAAAAAACCCACATATATTTGGTTTATTTGGTCGTGTAGTATGTTTGGTTCTCACTCCTGAAAGAACAGGGAATTACTGTGTGAATATAGTCACATAATAGCAACTCAACATGGTTAAATCAAATGCGTCCCGTATAAATAAGCCCCTGGCAATAATGGACCAAATTCTGAAAAGAACAAGATTTGTTTTATTAATTCAATTCCAAAAATTCCATTGAAACAGCGAGGATTTCCATACACTACCCAGAGAGGTTTTTGCCGTGTTGCCTGACACAGGGCTGCATACATCGGCACAAAGTTGCAGCCGACGCCATTGTTTTAAAAAAACTGGGCGTAAAGATTCGGAATTGCCCGATTTCCGGACGGGCTGAACTTCTTGCACACCACTCTACAGCATGCAATACAAACCAAAGTTGAGAACGGCTACTGTGGTCCTCCTGATAGAGCTTGATAACAATTCAATCTGTATATAAATAAATTTCGAGTACCGAAAAAACTCATATTACATTATGTATATGAATTGAATTAATAAAACAACATAATTGAATTAATAAAACAACATATGTGAGTATGTCAAAATACATACTCACTTGTTGATATTGATCAACTCTGTGTAAACAAAACACCTGACTATGCCCAAGAAAGTATATGTGCCAACAACAAAACACACAGCCTTTCTATAGCCAGAACAGGCAACAAACCTTAGAGGTTTCATCACGAAACTCACAAATTGGACAAAAAGTTCAACCTTCTTGGAAAAATTACTTTTTTTTCTTTCAAACATTTCGACCCTGATAATACATGTATGGTGTCTTGCTTTAGAACTACAAAATAACAATAAACACAAGAACATAAAGATACTATCTGAGTTCAAGTTTGCCGGTAATCAAATGAATGTGTGGGTGGCTACAAAACCATTTTAAACAATTCATTACAATTCGTGAAATGTAAATAAAGTTTAAGGTTTTATAGAGGACATTAGCAAGACTTCTTGCGCATTTGACTTCTTCATCTTTTGATGAGAAAACCAGTGAGTCGTTTTTCAAAGATGACAAAATAAACTTAATGATTTCTCTTCACTAAATAGTCAAAACCATCCCAGCTCATTGGAACTTCCCCTCTGCCCCCCCCTTTATAAGTACTGCTTGGCCATCGCTCGCAGGAATTTACAAGCTCTCTTCTGAGCAGACGCACTTAAAATAATCTCTGGATTGCTGGAGTTCAATTCTGTTGCACTCAATGCCTGGACCTGTAACCAACAACAGAACAATGTAAACATACAATGTGTATTGTAAATGTTTTCAACAATATATTTGTACTATTTCTATTGACTTAGTTTTATATTGTGAAGTATATCAGTGGAGACAAAATTTCTATGTTTTACACAGATTAACAAATAAATAATCTTAAATTTCAATCTTGCATCTTAAATCTTAAAAGAGTTTCTGACAAATCACTGTTTGTTTCAAAGAGTAGTGACTACGGTCATCGGTGAGTGATTGTTGCATCACCCAAGTTGGCAGTATTTATAGTGTTGCTGGCACGGGGACTTAGTGGTGACCCAAGGCACGGATGGGTCAGTGGTTCCATCACAAGTCCGGTCACAAGAAATGGTGCAGAGGGGAATGATGATGGAATACTTTTGTCAGAATTCAGTTGAATAGCTTGTGAATTGACTGGGCAACTTGTGACAGACTTGTGGGGCCTTGTAAAGGACTCAATTTCAACATTAGTATGAGTTTTATGCCTTCTTCTGAGCACGCTCAGAATAAGCTATTCACAAACTGCTAAACAGCTAACATAAATCCTGGATATCTAACTTGGTAGAGTGTGTACTCAGGATATTACTGAGTAGCTGGTTCGAACCCTGCCTCAGTCAGCTTTCCTGGTTCGACCCAAAATCCTTGTTAAAACCGACTGCCCAACAACTAACCCTCTCAAATTAACTAGCATCTGACCAATCATTTTACCCCAGGAAACTTTTTGCAGCTCAGAACAATTTTCTATTACAGTCAAGTAATAACACTGCCCTGCTGCAAGGTTGTTCCAGTCTCAGCATACACAGCCCTGATCAGTAATTCCCTCTATAAGAAAACAACATAAAGACTGCTGACACCTACCGCTTTCTGTTTCTTGTCCTGCTCATTCCGTTTGTTGTGGAGGTCTGACCCGCAGAGGGTTAAGGAGTCCAAAGGATGTCACAAAACAGCAGTAAGGGACCACAAATGGTATTCAGGTTGAAAGAGTAACTGTCAATGGGGCTGTGGTATGTGAGCCCTGTGTCAGAGAGCTGCCTGGTGCACTATTAGCTCAGTACAGAAATGCTTAGCAAGAAGGGGTTACCATTCAAACTTTTACCGAATGTATATGGCTTGTCACAGGGTCCCAGTTGAGTTTTAAGCTAAGCATGTAAACTGGCTAAGCAGAATTTCCTAATTATAAACACCGTGAAATTGGGCAAATATTTACCTTCTTTGGTATCTGCTTTACAAACAAGGATACATATGAGGTATTCTAATATGGTCACGTCCCAGATGCAGTCATACAAAGCGTCACCAGCATCATAACTGCAATTATCAACAAAACATGATAAATGGTTGAATGAAATTTGTCCACTGACAAAAAAGTCAACAAACTTGGTGAGATCATCTGAAATAACTTCTTACAGTTACAGAGCTTGTAAACATCTACCAAAGACACCATTGCAAGCTAGGAGTGAAGACAGCTGATATTAAGTGAGTGGGATTTGTCAAAATGGTACATTTCTTTTCCTGTTCTAAGTGAGGCATGCTTTGCTGGTTTTATTGCAACTTGAAAAATATTTACACTACAATTGAAAGTTTGATTTTTCACAAATCTCAACTAACTGCACTCACTTCAAGAGATGGTTATACAGCCAAAAACTGACCAAAACAAGTGGTTGAAGAAGCACTGCATGTATGCCCACCACCTGCAAGTGAGCACAGCACCACTGCAGTAAAAGCAACTCATCCTGGTTGTGGTTACATCACTCCTGCTTACCACGACTTTTCCTGCAGCGCCTTGAACGCCGTTGTGTAATCCACAGGCTGCAGCAGCTGGCACAGCAGTGCCACTTGGGTGTAGCACTGCAGCTGGTTGCAGCATTTGATCAGGCGGCGGTAGACCTGGTCTGACCAGACATCGCGGGGCACCGGCATCTCAAAGAGGCCTGTCACCACACTGGCTGACTGGAGGTAGAACTGTAGGGCCGAGGCGTACTGGCTGTTGGCTGGGAAGGAACAAATATTAAGCAGGAGTCACTAGACTAACAGGCAAAACACAGCCCCAATGCGGCCATGTCCAAACCAACTGGCTATACTACAAATATCCATAGGAAGGGGCAATGTCTTCTGGGCAATGACTTTCATTTGCACATGTGTAATTCCAAGCCATAGCTGAATAATTGAGATGCAGCCTCTCTGGACTCATTGTTGTCCTTCTGGTTTCTGATGAATCAACTAAAATATCAACACACAATAGCCACTGTTATCAACATGCACACATGGGAGTGCATTTGATCGATTACAGAGTACAAGGAAGGTGGAATCATCAAAGTACATAGCAACTGTCATGATTCAAGAAGCTGACTATACACTTTAACTCACCATAATGATAGTCAGCCTGTGTCCTCAGCCACGATGGCTGACCGGGGTTAACAGAGATCACGTGACTAATCAGCTGACCCATGACCATGGTAACAGAGTCTACACTGATAGCACTGGAACTTTAAAGAAACAAACAGGTATGGGTAATCAGCTGACCAATGACCATGGTAACAGGGTGTACATTGATAGCCCTGGAACCATACAGTAAGAAACAACCAGGTGTGATTAATCAGCTGACCCATAAACCATGGTAACAGGGTGTACATTGATAGCACTGGAACCATACAGTAAGAAACAACCAGGTGTGATTAATCAGCTGACCCATAAACCATGGTAACAGGGTGTACATTGATAGCACTGGAACCATACAGTAAGAAACAACCAGGTGTGATTAATCAGCTGACCCATAAACCATGGTAACAGGGTGTACATTAATAGCACTAGAACTGTAAAGTAAGAAATAAGTAAGTACGATTTCTATGAAAACCTTTCAGTTTAGCTTGTCTGTGTTGTCAAGAGCTATTATAAATTTATGCCTACTTTACATTTATCCAAGTAAAGTTCTTGACTGGAGGTTTTGCTAGACTAAGCACTTACTTGGTGACGGTGTTAGGCCACAGCTGGGCATGCTCATGAGAAAGCTCATTTAAGGTGTCATCTTTCAGGAGGTTGTGAAGCCTGATGACAGATGACAACATTACCGACAGACAGAGGGAGGATCGTAGCTGCTTAAGGAACTGGAGAAAATCAGACCTGACACACACAAACAAATTTTGTTAAAGAATTAAAAAAGAGAGATGCTATCCATATCACAGCCGAATCCAACTTTTTCTTCTGATCTGTTTCAATTTTTAGAGTAATGTTTTGCATATATTTTGATGCTGATACAGGAATTTGCATGCAGTGCTTTCACCTTGCAAAATACGAAATGTTTGAGTTCTTCATTTTAAACTCAGTGCTGGATCAAAGAGAACAATCTGCAGTCATTAGGATCCTAATTACAAAGACCTATTAGGCAAAAACTATGCAAATATACAACACATAGATTTTTTAAAACTTCATTCCAAGTTTCGAAACAATCAGTGGGAGTGCTCAGTCATGGCATATGTAGTGTGGACTTCCGCACAAGAGAAGCACACATAATGTAGGGTCAGTAGATGTTGCATGGGCACGTCTGTATAGTGTATTCCCTCTCTGAAAAAACAACTTCAGAGGAGTTTTAGGGTCAGGGTTATGGTGGAAAAATGAAGAGGAACAGTCCAGGAATTCATCATCCAAAATCAAGCTCAACGGAGTTATCATAGTGAGGGAGGAAGCAGCATTTTCCCCCATGTTTTCTTAACCACCAAAGCAAATAACCTGTCCACACTACAAATGTAAATCAAGTATATCTAGACAGAAATGCATCCAACAAACCAACTGGTAGAATGTTTGCAAGGTTTGTAGTGTCAGAGGTTGAAAATCTGCATTACTGAATTTGTTAATGTTGTCTATTCCACGTGCCTTTGATCCCTATGATACAGAGCATGGGGCTTATAAAAGCCATTTCCTAACTCAGACTAAGCACACTTACACCATACAACTCACAACTCACAAAGTGCAAGGAGCCGATACAGTGGCACACAACACCATGTCCAAAAGTCATGGCTGTGGCAAGCACATCTGTAAGAAGCAGGAGAAGCCGCTAGTGTTTACAGGCACTATGGCTTGCCATCTGAACCACATCCAAGACTTTCAGTGCACAGCTCTAAGACCCACCTGAGCATAATGGCCAGCATGGACTCCCGCTGCACAGTGGCGGCCGGCTTACCGGTGCTGGTCCGCTTGACCTGCTTGTTGCTGGAGCTGAATATCTGCAAGGTGGCATTCCACAGACAGGTGGAGGACTTGAGGGCATCCTTGCGCACGGAGAGGTCATGGCAGACTGTAGCAATCACCTTACCCAGCTGACAAAAGGGGGGTAGGAAGAGGGGTCATAATGGCAGTCCCTGGGGTGAAACCCCAGTATTAAGGTTATGAGCCCTGAGCTGGACCAAGTGAGGGCACAATTTACCTAGCAACGGAGGCTTCTTTGGTCAGTTGCTTTTTGCTAGTTCCCAAATGACTATGAAATGCACGTATTAGAGTCGCATCGCTACCAACAAAATGAACACTCCCACCAACATGGCTCTCTTCAACTGATGAGGGGGTGCTTCTGCTCAAGGCAGATTCTATAATACTTTTCTATGACAAACCCATTTTGTTCCCTTCTGGTGTGTGAAACCTTTCAATTGGAGGATTTACGACTATTCCACAAATGTTTATGGCAGTGGTTGACAATTTTCTTCATGTCTCATTTTTATTTTTCAACATCACTGCACAAAAATCTTCTAGCAATGTTACAGCATATGGACACTTTAACTATGGCCAATGTGACCCAGCTCTATTCTATTCAAGTACAATGTTGAACTTTCAAGTATCAATGTTTCCTGTGAGTTTCTTTAACTGCCTTTTCCAATAGAACATACACACTGGGTGACCACAATACAAAATGTAGCTACCACATGCATACAGAAACAAATGTACATTTACCACTGAGTACGGAGTACCGATGAAATCAGCTGCCATCGCATCAGCCCAGTTTCCTGAGTTCAGTAGATGCACGATGCACTGATCGAGAATCTTGTCTCTGGGTGTGATGTCTCTCTCTAGATGACAAAACAAAAAATATGTGAACATAAGGTCATTATAAACATCTTTAAAACACCAGATGTTGTGTGGAAAAAAAGGGGCTGTACATCTTATGACAGATGAATAAATCAACCCCAAAGCAATTTTTGCTTTGGACTTTTTTGGGCAAAACGTACTGTTGTCAATTTGACAAAACTAATTCAATGTGGACAACCAGTACACTTCATAACCAACAAGTATTGACAATCGGTTGGTAGTTTTTACCTTCAGGGCCAACCGAGTGGAGGAAGAATGACATGGTGAGCTTTACTAGGTCACAGAAAAGTCCCCAACGGACGGCTACTGTGATGCCAAACTTAACTATTGATCATGTGAATGGGTCAGGCCATTCCCACATGACCTCTCTTGTTTCCACGCATGCGCCCATACAGTACTGTTCATACAAGTTCGACATCTGAGATGAAAAATGGACAACTTGACAATGTTAAAAAAACAATTGAAAAATTTTGCACTGCCCTGAAGCCAAATCTGGAGTCAGATTATAAGACAAACCAGAAGGAGCACTTGTGAAATTATGAAAAGGGTTTGAAGTGACTATGGGACTTATTATAGGTCAGGAGTAAGCCAGGTGCACAGATGAATGGAAGAATTGTGACAAAGTTAACTGAGTGCCACCTGCGAGCATACCATAGATACTCCTAAAATTCTTTTAATTCCTTGTTGTGTGAGTGCACTCCGCAGGTGCATATAGACTGGTGCACGCGCATTGGGGCATTGGTCATTGTTTCTGTTAGCCATGCCTTCTCCTCCAGCCTTGCGCCTGCACTGGTCTTATTACCTGTAAATGTTCTACAATATTGTAATTCATCTACTTTTGTTAATTTGTCAACTGAATACCTTTGTAAATATTAACTTTTTTGGTGTAATTTTACTACTAAATTTAGGAGGTGGCTCCGAAGTCTGTCTTGTTGCTGTATGTTTTTCTCGGTTGTTCATTTGTTTTCATTTCTCAAGCCCTTGCCTGCTTGGCCCATTATAGAATAACCACAATGGAGTGTTAACAAGCGCTCACGGTTTAATTTTCATTTCAATGCAAACACAGTCTAGCATCTATTTCAAATCTGTGTGCACTACAGACAACTGTGACAGACCAACCACATTGATTGTTGGGAATAAAATCAGCTCTAAATACATCAACTGATATGCTCTTCCTCAAGCTGAGGCATAAGGGGAAAAGCCTTGGCCAAACTAAAGCCAAAAACTGCACTGAACAAAATGCAAACATGCTGTAAAGCTCATGGGGTCATCCGTCTTAAGTTTGGTGTGACATCATCTTGCTACCTTAACACACTCACTTTGCTCTCGGAGCTGACTTACTTTTAAACCATGAGACACTCATGAAATCATTAAGCAGGCTCTTGTGTCTGCTGTGAATCATGCACACTCCTTACCACTCTTGGCACTGGCCAGGCATGCTTGGATCCGCTGTGCCACGGTGGGCTTCCCTGGTTCCACCTGCCGGCTACTGGCCTCCCCGCTCAGGAGCTCAATGTACAGAATTTCATGTAGCAGTGCCTTCTGCAACTTGAAGGAGGTGTCGCGGACTAGGGTATGCGCCGTCTCCAGCAGTGACTTGGCTGCAGTATAATTCTGAACGTGGAATGGAGGCAAATGGGTGATCGCATTAATGTAAATCTGTGAGAAATAATGTGAAATTGAAGTTCTAGAATTGTGAAAAATTTAGAGTTTAAATCCCTCTCACACAGTCAGTCTTTCTGGATGGGCATTTAAATTGTTTTATGAATTGTCACGTAAGTATACATTAATGATGCCTTTCTTTTAGAAACAAAAGCAGCAAAACTATTTTTATGATAAACCGATGACAAGTTAGGACTCAATTCATATTGTTGAGGAAATACGATATTCTGCTATGGAGAATTTTCAGTGATGCCACATACGCCATTTGAAGAAAGCATAGAAGAGACCATGCTGATTTGGAACATAACAATTGCTTAAAATAGCAAAGCAGCCAATAATTGGAATGCAAATATTAAAACATTCTCACTTTCGGAAATATGCTTGAGGTTATTACAATATTCCTGCTGTGGTTAGAACAACTAACAGCTTAGTAAATCTGCAAAACTGGGCCCAGGTGCATTATAAATGAATTCAACTGAAAACCCAAGGATACAAAATGTCATCCCTCACTTTGATTTCTGTGCAATGCTGTGCTTTGACCAGCAGCAAAAACAGCACATCCTGTGTCTTCTTATTCCCCATGCCGTCAAGGATGAAGGCGTAGCTTTTCTCAATCTGCCACTGTAGGAAGACGGACCACATATTTTTATATATTACTCATTCATCAAACAGGGGCTGACAAGGCAAATGAAATTGAAGGGTTTTAAGCAAATTACAACAGCAAACAGAACAGATTCCACCAGAAGAAAACACATCATGCATCTACAAGAAGACAGGGGGCCTGGATCTAAAAGCAACTGAAAGTGGGTAAGAACCGTTTGATAAGTTTTCAGTTATGAAGGGGATGGTCAAAGGCTCCAATAAACCTTGTTTTGTTTAGACTTCCACTTCCCAATGTTCCTTAACTTTCTCTGTTTCTGTGACCTGCTGATTACATGCACAACTTAGCTACTTAACCTTGAAAGAATGAATGAATGAGCCCAATCAGTCCCTCAGCCCATCTGCGATAAATGCTAGGGCAAAGTTTAAATACAGTAATGTGAGTGTAACTAATGAAATAAATGGCACAGAGCACTGCTCCAATACCACTGCTGGGTTGAAGGATTCCATAGAAGTTTGTGCAGGGGACTTGCTGTGCACATACCTTGCTGCAGATGTTGGAGTAGCGTTTGCCGGGTCCCAAGCGGTGCAGTTGTGTTAGGATGCTCTCAAGCTCTAAGTGACTGTTGCTCAGTAGTAGACGCTGCTCCAAATGACCCAACTGCAGAGCCATGTTGTCTAAACCATTTATTACCAGACAGAAATACGTAAAGGTTAGCATTATCATGACTGGGATTTTATTCTCTCAAAATACATGGTTCAAAAGCCTGTAACCAACATACAGCAGTTACACATTTCCAATTCTCGATGCTTCTTCTTTTTGCCAGGCAAAGTTCTGCAAATTTTGGCTCATTTCTGCAAAAGTTGGTGTTTCAGACACCAACAGGGTCAACCTCTGCTTTACTCAGGAACATCATGCTTTGAAGTTGCCACACAAAAATGTTTGAGAGAGAAGTTTGATATTTTCCCTGGTTTTGCTGACATCTTGTTGTCAAGTCTTTCCACTTATATTATTTCTGAGATTGTAGATGTGTTAAATGGACAGCTATGAAAAAATCGAGCAAATTAGGAAGACTGAATCATATTCTCTTATTTTCTAAAGAAAACAAATCGAAGTCGCAAAGCCTTTACCCATTGGATATAAAACTCCACTCTTGATGCACAAACCTTACCTGTTTGTGCAGATGAGCCAATCTCCATGGCAACAGTTTCCTCCTTGAGTACTCTTTGGCACAGTACTGGCAGTTCATCACCTGGCATGGCGTCTTGAAGCAACTGCTGAAGTTGCTTGAAAACTCTCTCATCACTGCATAAACACCTTGGAGGGAAATTAAAACTTGAAGAAACTTGAGTTGATTTATTTCTGGGATGTTGTATCTGAGATCAACTCTCCTGGGTATGGCCTTGTGAATTCATGACCATTTTTCACCACACTGCACACAATCCGACACATTACTGATTGTGCAATGGTAGCATTTAATGGTAATGGGATTTTCTCCACCATATTGTCCTATTTGAGGCTTACTTGAGCACAGAGACCACTGAGTGAGCCTTATGCAATCCATTATCAATTATGAGCAGATACAGGATTATCCTTGAAGTTCTTGTAATGTGAATTGTGTTTTCTCTGAAATACAGAACACACCTTATATGGAAATGAACAACATCCAATGCAGACTCCACTGTTGGGAGGAAGAAACCACTAGGGTTGGCATTGTTGGGAAACGCAATTAAACAACTCCCAATTCTACCAAAAATTTATTCTTGTGATTGTATTCAATTAAATCCAATCCTTTATCAATTTTCAACAACTAAAAACAAAAAGTTTACCTGTCTGCAGTAAAAACACACATTAAAAATACATTATTCACTTATAACACCACTCCTCAAAAGAATCCTATGATATGCATACATACCTGATAAATGTTTGGATCTTGCTCTTGTCTGTTCCTTCCTGTTGCTGCAGTTCTCTTTGAATGAACTGAAATCAGGAATATTACTATTTTATCAAGAGCTTCTGGCTTCAAAGTGAAATGATTTGCTGGTGGGAGCTTCATTGACATCTTTCAATGACAACCTTATTTGGGGTCCAATTATTTATTTTTTTAAAAGACTTTATAAGAATGGATGTTTTGCAAGGTAAAATGGTGATACAAATTTCATTTAAAGACTTAACATACTTTCAGATAACACAACCATACAGGGGTAATGAAATCACATGATAAAGTTGGCTGATAAGCATCAAATCCAAGGAGATTTTCAAAATCTCAGTTTCATGTTTGTCTAAAGCTTTGTCTCTTTCAAAAAACTTCTTGTAGGCCTATAATGCTAAAAAGGGTACGGACTCTGGCTCAACAAAATACACTCACAATTCACAGGGACTTTTTATGAAGCTAAAAGTTCAAAAGTCACGGGCTAAAATCCTGGCAAGGCTGGAGACAGAGACAAAACCAAGATTTGGCAAACCCTGCTTGAGAAACCTCTACCTCACATGGTCCAAGGACCCCCATTGACCCCTCATTACCCTCCGACGGTTTACTCCTACCTTTCCAAGCGCCTCAAGGTTGTCATCAGAAGCCCTCCTGAGGACGCTGAGGAGTTGAGGGGGTACAGTCAGCCCCTCCTTGTACCTCCGGATGACATGGAGGATCAAGACTTGATGGGCTGTCTGGCTGTCCACACTTGGCTGTGATGAGAGGACAGTGTTGACAAGGTGGTCACGGTAGGAGAGAGGAGTCTCCAGGCGGCGGTTGTCCTCCTCTAGGAGCTCAATGATACCCTGACAAACAAAGAGGAAATTTCAAGACACTGGGTATGGTGTATTTCAATAAAACTGTTGTTACACACGTTTAACTCCAACTGCATCATCGCTTCTGGTTTTTTTTCACAAGCCTTCACGGGCATACACTGAGTATACTGTGTTAAAATACACGTCAGGAAGGGCAAAAATCCAAAATATACATCTCCCCGGCGCAAATTCATCTTTGAGATACATCATCTTGCAAAAAGAACATACAGTTAGAAGATTTTTTTCCAGATAATTACAGTACACATTCAGGAATTGTGCAGTAAACCAACTGGAGTGACGCAGACAGCGCAAATGAGCACGAGTCATTTTGCGCTGGCAAACAACTGTCTCCAAACTGAAGCTGTGCAGAACTGTGTTCCATATAGACAACACATGCCAAAGACGGAACTGTTGATATTTGAGCTTGTGATGTCTAACTATGCATGGGAAGGTGAATGGGTTTTCAACATAGCCAACTGGAGGTCCAAAAGACACCAACATGTTAATATGGCAATATAGCAAATGTGTTTACAAGACGTATTTTTGCGTTGGGGAGATGTCAATTTATATAACGGGTTTTGCCCTTACCTAACGAATATATTAATAAACACTGTAAGGGCAAGGGCAAAACCTGTTATATAAAATAACATCTCCCCAACGCAAAAATACATCTTGAAAATAGTTCACGGTACCCGCTGCTTCACCTAACTCGGACCGGCCAGCTGACCCCGGCAAGCTCCGTGGTTGAGTGGTTAAGACGTCTGCACTATTAAGCAGGAGGTCATGGGTTCGAGTCCAACCCGAGTAAGCTTGTGACTTTTTTCGCAAGCTCTCGCACAAGCACTGAGCATACAGTGTTTATTAATATATACGTTGGGTAAAACCCGTTATATAAATAGCAAATGTGATAACGCACAGCACTATTCTGGTACCTTCATGCCCAGCTGTCTACATTTCTCTATCTGCTGTAGCATGTGGCCTCGTGGGATCTCCCGCAGGGAATGCCAGTCTTTATGACCCCCACCGCAAGCAGCTAGGTATCCTTGCAGAGTGGAGGCATCAATATCACAGAATGCACAGCCTGACAGCTGTCATATAAAAGACAACAAAGACATCTTACTATGATCTATTTTTTAAACTAATGTTGAAATGAGAGAAGGAATGTGAAGTGTTGGTCTCTCTGTCACAACTAGCGCAAGTTTGAAATCATTCTGGTGATCAATTACTGAGACATAAGATTATAATGTAGTGTTCGATTGATTCCTTTTAAGACTGTCCAATGGGTTAACTTGGTAAGCAGCCAGACAGGTCTAACAAAGCAAGGTTTCTATCAAGACAGGAGAGCAATGGTGATTGTGTCTATTTTGCTTGTCACAGTCATAAGTTCAGAGTTCACAAATTGGTCCCACAAGGATCTAGAGAGGCTTGAAGAGACAGCATTATGGTGCAAAATTTCATTGACAAGTAAAAGGCTTCTTGCATTACTACACACAGCATGCACATTACATCCAATTTTAGGACAGTGCCACTGAAAAATGTGCATGGACAACGGAAAATGTAAGTAAAACGTGACAGAGCAGAGATGGTAAGATTCAGTTGTGAACAAGTTTCCAATGAGATACCAGTCAAGTTCTTGTCCAGAATGTATCTTGTTAAGGCCTGGACTTATTGCTCAACTGTCTCCATGAAATAGCCTGAAATCGGGCTGTCTGGCATCCTAATGCCAAGTCATCATATCTTACCGAGGGCAGTAACAGCAGCACTCTGCCGAACATTTCGGCTGCCCTAGGGACAATTCGCTGATGGAAATAGAAACTGCCAAGGTCGTAACACAAGAGGCAGAGAAACTGCTCCTTGGTAAGAACAGGCAGGGGGTCCCTAGGTGCACCCGGCCTGTGATCAGTCAACGGGGAGGAACCCCTTGCATCGCCGTTGGCTGGAGGGCCGTCTGGGGGTGGGGCATCCTGGACCTTGGTGGGCGGGGCCTCAAGAAACGTCTGCATGCCCGGTACTGAGATGTCTCTGTTGATCGGGAGGCATCGCTCCAGAAAGCTGACCGATTCTTGTAAGGTGTCTTTGACCTTTTGTTGAATGAAAATGCAGGAGGATTTCGGTTCACTGGATGTTGAACACCACAAAAATAAAAGCCATACCTGCCGATAATCACATTCATATTTCCTAAAATAACGTCACACGAGAGGGTTCCAAGCATTGTATGGACAAAACAACAATCAGCAACATCAAGCGTGAAAAAAAGACCTTCTTTGCTCTTCAGCAGTTTGTTAGTTTCAAGTTCATCATTCCAGTAGATTACAAAAGTGCTATGGAGAAATGTCAAATAATTACTTGAAAGTGAACGAATGTTTACCACAGCTTACCGTTTTGATAACCATTTCATTAATGCTGGCAACATTCAAGTTGGACCTGAAAGACAAAAGGTGATTTGTAGGGGAAAAAATTATGTCTTCACATTGCCACTGTAAATTTATCATTGATTCCATCTAATAAAATATACTAGACATCAGCGGCTCTTGAAAGGGATTAGTAAGGACAACCTTGCAAGTTTTTAGGTTCATCTATTTTTTTCTAGTACTAAAATTAAGCCACTCACCCATTTGGAAGCACTGCCACTGTTGTCTTAATGGGTTTGGATGTATGAGTGCTGTCCAACAATGTGCGAATGCACCTGATGAAAAGGTAGATAAATTTGAAAGACATCAGTGATATATATTAAATTGCTAATACAAATCAATGTCTGTATTCAGTTTAGTCAAATCCCTGGCCCCAATACCAGGTTAACAAGGTTTGCCAAGCGAGGCTATCATTCCATACGTCATGAGGTTTTGGCTTGGTTTCAAGCCACATAGTAAATATGACTTTCTCACCTTTCTGACAAAAATCTCAAAATGAAAATATGGGGAGGTCGATGGACACCAACACTGCACAGAACACTACTCTAGAGCTGCCAGGCTTGAATGCCAACACTGCATACAACGCTACTCTAGAGCTGCCAAGCTTGAATGCCAACACTGCATACAACATTACTCTAGAGCTGCCAAGCTTGAATGCTAATTTACACAATTTCTTTGAAAATTTACTAAGTCAGCTGTGGTATATTTGTTACTATCAGCACTTCTTCAGCGCAAATGTTCGAGAAACTACTCCTTCACATTTTTCAAAAGTGAAGATTTATTCCTTCTTTTGACCAAGAAGAAGATATGAGTATCAGGGGAACTTACAATGAACTCTAACCCACACAGCATGTGAAAAATCATATTGACCTTAGAGGATTAAAGGCTGTTAAGGTTGGGATGAAAAGTCACGGTTAGAGTCGAACTCCCTCACAAACTTTACCATCTGTTGTAGACTGCCAAGGCTACCAAGACTGAGTCGCCCAGACTGCAGACATCTGTGCCAGGCTGAATGTTGAGATTTGGAGGCGAGACTGACTCCACAAAGTCCTTGAGGACCTTATGCACCATGAAGAGGGGCAAGCTGTCGACAAGACATACAAGGGGACAAAGGGGTCACCAAATGTGCTAACTTTACATCTTCCCATCTTTGGACAGAGTCACCTGATGAATCTAAGACATTCCATCAACTGTGGGACAAGTGAGGCACTGGGTTTTTGTTGAGTTATTCAAAATGGAAACATTCAATATTTTTACAAACATTTACTGAGGTACTGATGTATGTGTACTGATGCTGAGGTAGAACACAGGGGACTGGGGATGCATTTTTCAATTGTTAGCATTATGGAACTGGATTTCTCTGTTTCTAAAATGCGTTTCCTTGCCTGTATTTATATGAAAACTTTTATTTCTGATAAAGAATACAGTTTAAAGGGTCGGTTATCATGTTTAAGAAATTAACCCCACAAATATAATGTATTCTTACAACTTGGAAAATAAACTTAGGATTCACAATACTCGTCCATTGCAACATCTCCAATTTGTGTGAATCACGTGTACTGGAGATGGTTTCATATCTGCTCAGTAATGTTGCACAAGCTTTTTTTAAAGAGGGAAGGAAGTTAACGACTTACTTCTTCTGTAGTCTCGTAATATTCCAGTTGAGGTGTGCAGCCACCTGCAATGCCAGACTCTTCAAGGAGGCTGCCTTGCGTTTCTGTGGCTCTGATTCCTCTTCCCCTTGGGTTTTAATGGACTGGTCCACAAACTGCACCAAGAGCTGTGTGGCGGTTGGTTCTATTAAAAAGAACCCACAAGAAAGCTGCAAGAAACTGATATACATGTACCCACTGGACTGGAGTGACCTGTACAAAAAATTACTCAGTTGGGCCTCATGTTGAGATCCTAGCAGAAAAATTAAGCCTTCCTAAAGTTGACAAAACAAAGGTGAAGAGCTCTTTTTCTTACCCTATGGGTATCCACTCTGAGCAGGAACAAAAGAGGGCGCATTTTGAAATAAAATTGACAGTCGATCTGCACGATCGCTCGATCCCTGTGCAATCTGTCAAACTTGCTTCATGATCTGTCAATAATTTTACTTTCAGATGAATGCCCTTTCTTTCTTATTTTATAGTTGTGGAAGACTATTTCCAAAAATAGAAGTTTTATACAGGATCAACTGGCAGGACAAGTCAATCGCGTGATCATGCTGATCAACTGATCACACCCAAAAATACCAAAAAACTTTGCACCCATATGATACATAACTGTTCTGAAAGGGTAACAAAGTATTGTAACTTAGTTGTTTTTCTTAAGAGAACTTCTGCATTGGATTATAACTGAGAGATTTTGATGACGAGTTGTTATGGTCTAGTTTTCATCTAAGATGCGTCTTATTTTATATATATATGAAAGTGCAAACAGCATATCAACATTTAGATAATCTTGGGGTTTCCATACATGTATGGAAATAGATCAACCTGAATACCACAAACTACAAGCCAGTTTAAAACTGATCATCTAGGCTTCACAGACCTATCAATCATTTTGTGTGTCATGTTCAATAATGGTTAAGTTTTTTTGAGAGGAGACAGAAAAATAAAAATTGATTTTAATGCATAGTAGCTGTGAATACAGACTACCTGGATTGTCTTGAGCCAAGTGTTTCTGGAGCAGACTGGCATCCAGGAGAAATTCAAACCACAGAGTGGGGACTGGTGTCCTTGGCCGAGTTTGTTGTACTTGTTGTTGGTCCATGGCTGCATCATTCATCTTGGCTCATTACTGATCCATGTAAACAGGATAGATGAAGTCAAGGATAAGGTGTTAAGTCAGAGCTGGCTTGGGCTTGAAATCTGAGGCAATACTACTACAAGGAATGACTGTTGCTAGGGTGCGGCTACTCCCAGTCAGCCACTGTGAGTCATACTCATTGTGACTCACAGGTCCTGATTTTATTGGTTTGTAATGAAAGTATATTGCAGGGATGGCAACCAGTCCAATGACGCAACCTCATTCCCATGGAAACAATATTGCCTTGCCACGTTGGTTCCCAGTGAAGAAACATGCACACAGCCCATAGAGTCGAGGTTGCCAATGATGCAATGCATTGTGCGTCACTGGACTGGTCCCCGTCCCTATTATATACATTCAAAAGACTGGGACAGGAACCAGTTTTCTGTGTCAACAGACATGTGCCACAGTATGCAGCTCAGATGTGTGGATCGTTTTGTGAAGCGAGGCAGGATCATAAGTAAAAGGTCTGGATTTTGCCAAATTATCAAACATGCTTGTTGAAGAGATATTATTTAGTTTTGACGGCTTTTGGGAGGAAGATTTGGTAAAGGGTTTGCCGATACACCATGTAGAAAATATCTCTTTGAGTATGTGTGGTTCTGAAAAGAACCGGTTACTTGATGTTTCGGACAGTGAGTGCTCTGTCCATCTTTAGGACTAAAGACGAACCTTCAAGAGCAACTGGAGGAAGATTTGATTGACAAAGTGCAGTTTTAGGCCAAATAAATGGCCACATTCAAATCCTATAGCATTACAAACTAATGAAAATCAAGACCTGGAGTCACAGGGAGCACAGCGAGTTCTGGAAGCAGGGTGAAGCAGGGACGGAGGGCACTAATAAGTAAAGTAAAATATTTTCAAATATATAGGCCTACACACAGAGAAATGCCAACATGACTAACCTGAAGCAACTTCTACCAAGACTACTCTGATCTTAGGAGAATCATGATGATCTGATGTCTGTGATGTTTGCACGATTGAAGGGAAGAATTTCTTCACTCGACTCTTACAGAACTAAACAACTTGTTACCCTAGTCTAGCATTTTCAATTATACAATTTTTTTTCTTTATATTCTTGATCCTCCTATTTCTGCACACTTAAGGCTTTGAAACAAGATTTCCAGAAAACTACAATGCACTTTTGTCAGAGGTAATGTTATTTTCAAAACTCACAGTCTGTCATCGGATCAATTCACACAAAAAGTTTCTTCTTCTTGTGCCCAGGAGTAGACAACTTTTAGTGGGTTCGACCTTGTGCGTGTAGAAAACATCCTGCTTATTAAAATCTACGCAGCTGGTAGCCTTTGAAATCTACAGTGGCCAAGACATGCTACACAAGATATATTTATTGAAAGGGTGAGTCCTGGTGTTTGGCATTGTAACTGCATTGTAACAGCACATATTCTGTGAATTTTTATAGCAATTTCAACAGCTTCAAATTGCAAATCTTCCAGTAGTCATTTCCAATTCATTTGAATAACTTTCGTAAATTAGTAACACGGAAATGAATTTTAATAAAAAATTTAATTTTTACAACATGAGGCTCCTTGGTCTGCCACTATTTAACATCCTTGCATAATAAATTACAAGTCAAGTCCCTTGTGTGTCCTTTGCTTATTTACTTGTTTTGACCATCTTCATTAGCCCAAACACTGAATATGGTACCTCATATCCTCCAGTGGTCTGTCCCCTCTTCCGTATACCCCATGACTCCATAACAACCATCCACATCCACCTTGTTTCTAAACCCCCCCTCCAAAAATTAAACTGTCATCATAATAATGAACAAATAATTTTTCAAGAGAAGACAAATACTCTTAATGTCCTCCACAAACACCTTCCTGTGGCTGGCAGACCTAATTCCATTCCACCATTTACTGCCATGTTCTTTGTTATTTGTACAGCCTACAACCATTACAAGTTAGTGAACACCCCCATCCACACCCATCCCACACCCTTGGGTTTACATGTATGTCTGTGCCCAGTCAGGTTGGTACATATCCCATCCCACGGATTACCTATATTCATGAATATGGGCAACCCAGTGTCAACCCAGGTAATCTAACTGTTCTGGAAAAAAAGGGAAACAAACACTAGAAATGGATCCACCAGTAATTTTTATTCATATTTACGCAATCGACAACATAAAACATTAACGTTTTGAAGCTTCAAATCTAAGCGAAGGGTCCTATTTGCACCCCTGAAGTGCTTCACTGAGTCAGTAAATTTTAATGACATCATGTGACACTTTAAAAGCACATACTAGTACTACTAGAGCACAAGACAATGTAGGGTGAACTTAGCTCTACTCAGTGAAGCATAGTATTCCTCTTTTTATGATTTTGGACGGGATCGTCATACTAACATGCCACGCCTGTACATAGAGTAAGGTGAAAACGGTTCTCAAAAATTCCAAAGACTCACCAAAAATACCTCTATCACCATCTACTGGCTTCCATAAATTCCAACATCAAACGGTTGGGGCTTCAATGATATTTCTGACTTCAAAATCAGTCAAAATCTGACCGTTTTCGCTCGACACACGCACGGCACTTAAACTTTTCACCACCTCCTCCCATTAAAATACGGGCATATAGAGTTTCTGGCCCAATAAGTCTATGAGCGAACATGGTCCTCTAACGAAATTGCAGGATAGGCCCATATGTAGTCGGGGCACAAGATGTATTGACCAGGAAACAGTCTCTGGTAGCACTCCCAAATGCCACGATCAACAACTCTTGTGCCCAGACCATGTACAGTGTACAGGCCAGTCATGCGTGCGTCTCGAATACAAACACTTCACTCAGTAGAGCTAGGGCAAACTGTTACTAGTGTTAGATAACACAAAGACCCGAATTTTTGAAGGACTCACAAGACAAACTCTAGTTATTATTATTTGAGTTTCGGAAATTCGCCGAAAAAGGGGTCACAATTCTTTTACACATAAACTAAGATTACAGGATTAATTTCCAACATTCTGGTGACTTTTGCAAAACTTCTAAACACGGACAACCTTGACTGCTGACTGTTCAATAGCGCGCGCATCCGCAAAACGTTTACTGCAAGGTGATTGCGTAGAAATAGGGCCCTAGGGTTAGGACCAATGATCGTATAGCGCCGCTTCGCAGCGATACGATCTTTGGTTAGGACTGCATAGATTTAGGGGCATGACTATACAAACACGAAGGTAGGCCTGGTTTGGATTTACATATTTGTTGACAGACCGAGATTCCACCACAACACTGATTCACAAATTTAATACACAGAGACTAAGGGCTGAGTTGCGAAGTGCAACAAAATGAACAATTTCACTTACCGGTGCGAGCGAAACCATACCCCCTCCGGTTTCAATGTCCCGTCCACAGACATTGTATACAGCGCCCTCAAGAGCTAAAACATGTCCAACAACTAAAAATACTTTGATGTCGGTTGCCACAGTGTTGGAGTGTCGCGACATGTGCAAGTAGTGCAGTGGTTGCTAGACCTAGAGCCTAAAAATGTCAGCTTCAAGGCACAACGAACAAGTAGCGAAGTACCTTGCCTCGCATAAGAGTGGCAACCGTGTCAGAAGAAATCACGCCAGCGACGGGTAAAGTTTAAAGCTGTTTTCCTTCATAAGAATCACTGCTATGAGTGATTTTGCGCTCTAACGTGCATTTATGATGATAGAGCTGGCATGACCGTATGTTGTTTGTCAGGTCCCTTATTTCGCCATTTACATGTCTTAAGTTACTGTGAAAACCAACCATGACTTATGTTACTGTGAAAACCAATCAGACCTGGCAATACTAATAGGTGGCGAAATTAGGGACCTGGTGACTATACTGTCAGGCACGTTATTTCACTTGTAACACCGGTGACCTGATCACTATGCTGTGCCGTGTGGCTACTTTGCCAAGGCCACAGCCATGACAGCCCAACATGTAGGCCTATACTGTATACATGTAGGGCCATGAATGGCTCTCTTTCGACATGTCATTATATTGTCGCCGTCACGACAAATGTCAAAAGAGAGTCATTCACAGTCCTATGTGTTGGGCTACTAAGAGGTTAACTAATAGTGCAACACAGTTGACCAACCGAGATTGAAAGCATGGGGAAAAAACACACTCGGCATGCATATTGTTGCAGGTAACTGTTACTTCCATAACTGCAAGGCATTACTCCATAAGCCTACAGAGTAGTGCCTTGCAGTTTTGGAAGTAGGTAACTGGGGGCCCAAGACACAAAGACAGCCCAGTATAATTTTGGCCTGTATGTAGATGAATCTATATGTATAATGTACGCAGTCAGTTGATCTGCCCGATTGCCCAATTATGCTTAACAATCTTTAACAACAGTGAGAAAGAAAGGGTAATTCTGTGATGGTAGAATTTTCACCAAGTCATGCAATGAGCTTGAGTGATTGCGCAAAGATTGAGCAGTCGCACAGATTGACTGATTGCACCCAACAGCTGTAACGACCATGTAGGCCTACATGTTAGTCTATAGACAGTAGAAGGCAACATAATCTATTCAAGGGTTAGGCTTTGTAATGACATGTTAGACTGCTATTAATAAGAAGCAAAGCCATATGTGACCCGCTCCAAGAAAAGGTGATATAAGTCACACCATGCATTTACAAGCAATGACCCGCTCAAAGTTGGATTTAAAAATTCCTTTTTTTCTGACAAAATCATCGCAAATACTAATTCCTAAGTCCTTGTGGGAATTTTGAAGGTGGTTGTAACACAAGAACATGTTGGTTGCTAAGTAAGATTTAAATGCCAACAACTCACATCAGAGCCAGATATTTCAAAGCCTGTTTTCTTGGTTTGCAATTTCAATTGCCTGGAACTAATTAATATGCAAATGTGTCATAACTCCCGAACGGGAAAGGCTACGGAGCTCTATCATATACCAAACGAAAGCTTACAATGTGGGCTTTCCAGTCATGTACAGTATATAACTTAATTTTTTTGGGGGGCAACTTATATCACCTTTTCCTGGAGCGGGTGTCACATATATCAGACTAGTCATACATGTATGTGTAAGTCACACATTGGTTGTGTACAAAGACCACCTAAAGATAAACATTTTACTAAGCCTAGGGACAACTTCTAAAGCACAGAGTAGATCCAGTGTTACAGATTTTGGGAATTATTATGGTACCAGTAGTAGGCAGTATGGTTGTTAAAAAATCTTCAGTTTGGGTATGCCCCCTTCACACTTTGATGACCACCAGGAAGACCCCGCTATGTTGCAAATTTTCATTAAAACATGGCTAGAACAGGATGAAACTATGTGTAGAAGATTTGGGCGCAAAATTGTTCTTTCAAGGTTATACTAGGTTGTTAGTGCATTGCTGGCACATGTACCGCATTGCTCTCAAGTTGCAATGAGTTCTTACTAAGATGTACAAGATCTCACCATGATTGGCTACGCTCTCCTGATTTTTTGAGGATGTAGTTAGTTTGTGTTTAAGTGTGATGGGGATTTTATGTTTGAGGTTTTGTTTTATATTGGACATGTCTGTCCGCAGTTTTGGTCCCGACATCACAGATAAGATGAGAACAGTTAAGTTGCATGACAGTGACAGCCATGTTCAGCAGAGACAGAAGACTGACACATTGCAGAGGAGGTTGGAAGGCAGTGGACCTTCAAAATCCAGAGGGGTAGATGCAAAGAGTGCAATCCGGCCTGGACGAAGAAGAGCAAGTATTGATGAGTAAGCATGTTTGGAAGGCAAAAACATATGTAGTTATGCTTCCAGGTTTTAATTTACACTGTGTTGATGGCACAACTGGGAAGTTTTGGGGGGAAATTTTTGGAAAATGTGTAGTTGGAAATAAAGAAAGCAGACCATGTATTTCTGTTGATGTCTTTGATTACAGTTGGAATGTGGTGTGAAAACGTTCTAAGGACTTATGTGTGCAACTAAAACCCTTCAAAGAGCTCTTCATTTTATTTGAAACTAATACCCCTGACCTCTGTTTTTGCAGTTATTTTTATCCATTAATGCTTAGCCTCACACTATCTACCTACTTTTTTTTCCACTGACTATGCAATAGGAAGAACAATTTTGGTTACCACTTTACATTTGTAACAGCTGAGGATATTTTAATATTTGTACAGCTTACCCAATGAAGTTTTGCTGAAATTGTTTAGCTTTCTGCCAGCTAACAGCCTTGTGATTTGTGACTTTGTCTGCAAGAGGTGGCATCACTTGGCCAATGACGAGTGAGTACCTCTCAAGACAGATACGGCATAAACTGCATCTTTGAATATCTTCATTTGCAATGAACTGTGAAATTGTAACCGCATCTTTGCTTTAGCTGATTGTCAAAAAAGTTTCAAGAAATACTGTCAAAAATTTCTTGCCGTAATGACTATTTTTCCAAAACAAAATTATAATGTTCACATAAAATAAAAATCTTCAGGTCTTTGAAAACCTATCCATTCAGGGCAACATTTAATCTTAAGTCTCCCCTGTTTTCTTGGCATTTAGATCACTTTGGGAGCGACAGTATCGCTCATATGCAGCCACCAAGAGTGAGCTGGTGGGACCTCGGCTCCAGTTGGCTAAACCATCTGATCCTGGATGCAACTGGAAGGTCAAGTGCATCCAAAAGTTAGTTTTTGTAAACTGACAGTCCAAATTTGTTGACACGCATTGAGACTGGCATACAGTGGTCATGTGAAAGATGGTCGACTGTTTTATTTTGTTCTAAAATCTTTAGGACTTGCAGTCTCTTAAAGATCAGGTTGAAGATTCCACAGAAGCTTGGCTTGGTGGAACTCAAGACTTGCATTTGCAACATCTCAGTCATTTTTGTTTGTATGTAACCTCTCCTGTCAGAACTTACCAAAAGGGTGTATATACATGTATGCTTCTTCAGAAAATTGTTGCTCACACTGAGTTGTGCATTTTCTCTCCAAAACAATGTTTTGGATCTAAACTATGGAGAATTCACTGAATTTCTATTATTTCTCTTAATTTCTATGATGTGGGGGAGTTTGCTTCTCACTATGGCTCTTAATGTTTTAAGTTCTCAATGTGTACTTTTTGTACAGGTGCATAGAGAGACGCAATGCAAGAATCAAGACGCTGCTTAACAAGTGCAGTCCTTACACACACCTGCCAACCTATACAGACAAAACAATACAGTGAGTCAATTAGTTGTCAAAAGTAGAATAAGAACATAAAGGCAGACACAGTTTCACCTAAGCTCTTCATTGAGGGGGTTCAAATGCCTATGTGAGTGGTTAGATCTGGGAACAAAGTTTGCATGCAAAAATGAAAACTGTTTGGACATGGAGTTATGCTAGATTGCCATCAGCAGATGCTATCAACCGTTTTTTTTAATGCTCTCTAAGCGATTTCACTGACATCCTGGAATTTATCCATTTATAGAAAACTGGGCATTAGCTGGGAGCTGGTACTGAGAGATGACAACAAGGAGAACCACTCCTTTGTTCATTCTGACTGCTATCACTTCCCAACCTCCTGTACAGTCAGGTGGTTCCACCTCCAGTTTCCACCAATCAGGAGTCTGACAAACCTGTCAATCATTGCCAAAGCACCTGTCTTCTTCAAGAAGGATGGCAGTGCGGCAGACAACAGGTGAGTCTCATACCTTGAAGGATCTAATTCTATGAAAATCTACAACCCCAGGATACTTACTTACAGAATTACTTGAAAACAATGTAATTTCTGTACGTCATTATCATTTTGTCAAGAATCCACTAAGGAAAGCTTAATTCTATTAATTTTTGGGGTTGAACAAAGAACGAAGACCAAAACAGGATTTAAATTTGTAATGTCTGAAATGCTTTTCGTTGGGAAAGTTATTTTTTACCATTAGACTAGATAAGGCTCACAGATTAAGAATCTCTTCTCTTTTATTTGCAGCCCATGTCAAAGGTCGCTACTCTTTCAACAGGACCTCAACTGGGGTAAACTGTCCATTAGTCATCTACCAGATGCTCATGATGACCTTATTGACCTCAGGGTCATAGGTCAATGTATTCTTGTGGCTACTTGGAAGGTAAAGTATGCCATTATAATAATTTATGAAAGTAGTACTTTCTTCGTCCAATCCTCCGTCAGAAATTTCATTTCTCTTCTATTTTTTACCTCATGCTAACTAGACAAAATGCCAGAATAGAAAAGGAAACTGGACACTGATTCTGATCAGTCATGAGCGAACCCTGCTGGTTTACTACATATTCGTTGTCACATTCTCATGATTCTGAAACCTATTTACATTATTTTGTATGCGTTACGTCACCATCTTGTATGACATTTAATAGAAAATATTAAATCAAGAAATCCGTAAAAACATGTCATCAGAGTTGAGCCATTCAAGGCTGTACTACTGCCTTCTCACAAGTTTCAATTAAATCACGACTGGTGCTTATTTTTCTACCTTACAAACGACATAATGCATATTGGGGGATTTGTTTACATCGGTTACTTCAAGTACATGTAATCTGAACAGGCATTCCTCAAAGCTATGGCTGTAACCAACATCGCTTATACAACTGTATGATGAAACTCTAAACCTTTCATTACTGTAGGTCAGTGCAGTCTCTGATAGCGAATCATTTATCGCAACTTTCTCTTTGTAATTTAGCCTCATGAGAAAAGGATAGACAGCAGCAATGACAATTTGGTTCGAACTCAGTTTAAATGCCGAGACTTTTAGAAGCTAACAAGTTAGAATCTCTCTAACTTGAAGTACATGTTCCTAGTGCTCTCTGTTTTCCACCTGCCCTGTTAGATATTAAGAATGGCAGAACATTAGCATTGAAGGTGGCAGAGGACCCACCCACTCTCAGGCTATGAAGACCGTAAATGGTAAGGTCGGGAACAAGGTGATGCAGAGCAGCCAATACGACCTCCCTGGTGAATGTGTAACTGATTGGTTGAGAAGACGGTTTCAGTCCGTCCTTAGTAGCAACCAGACTGTGAAGTACAGGTAGAGACCAATCTGCCGGGTCCCCTAACACAGAAAAATAGCACTCCGCTGTGAGCACTGGACATGTCAGTTTATGAGACCATGCGATAATAACTTCTGCTTCTTGCCAAAGTTGGTCTAGTTTAGATTTGGGAAGGTGTATAGTTAGTTGATTTGAAGATATTGTACGGTCCTTTCTTGTGATATTCTTCAAGTTGTCAAAGGGAAGAAAACCGGCATAAAAAAAAATGGATAAACGAAGAGTGTTTGAAGGTCTGCTAATGTTAAGAGGCATGTCCATTTTGATGCAACTGTGCCAGTCTGTCTGATGTAATGGGCTCCTTCCTGATGGTCGGTGAAGAGGTCAGCCTATTGAAGCCTTGCAAAGCCATCTTGACCATGGTGTTGTCTGTCGGTGAAAGAAGGCCGGCTAAACTATTTACCAATTAGATTGATGCTGCGGCCAGATCAACAGTGAACTTGGACCTAGTATTAGAGAGATGAGAAATGTAGAGGGAAAAATGAAATGGATCAACCAGGAAAGTAGTGATTCCTATTCTTAATGATGCCCAGATCTGCCTCGACTTTATATCAAAAGCGATGGCAATGTGCATTGTGCCAATGCACGAAAGGATGGATCACTAACGAAAGAGGCGTAGTTGGTCCACTTATCTGATGAAATTTTAAAAAAAAGAGACCACAGTATGACAACGCACAAGCACATCTGCAAGTAACCAACTAAAGTGGGTGGAACTTGAAAATGTCAAAATGCCCTGTAAATGCACAAAATTCAATCTGATAAATTAAAGCAAATGTTGTTTAAGATAAATGAATAAAGCAATGTTAATGTCGTCAAAGAAAATATCATGAAAATAATATACCAAGAAGGGTAAGTTGTGAAATTTACTGGTCTGCAATGATAAGGGTATCAGTTCTACACTGAGTGCAGTCTGTGATGCTACTCAGTGGCCACACAAAACCCTGTGGAGGAAACATGGGTGCAACTCAGATGCTCAGTGGAGGTGCACTGCCCTGAACCAATCCGAGTACCGGGTTGGGTGAGTCTGGTGTAGCAGGGTGTGTCACTTGAACAAGAGTGAATTCATGTAGCCAAAGGGGTAACATTCCTGGATGCGCAAGATGACGTGAGCACCGCACAGAAAACCAAAAGGCATGTCATACAAAAACAACAAGAAATTCCACTTGCCTAACAGGACACATGATCTGTGTTACTTTTCACTGGCATGTTTTGATAAGAGTTTGGTTTTCTTTAAAAACTGTTTTAATGCATTCCAGAAATTGATTAAATATTTCTTTGCATTCATTGAAAAGAGACACACTGGAAAAATACTTATATATATTTGTAGAATATGTCTATTAATTATTCTTATAAACATTTTGTCAAGTTCTTCAAAATCTTACCAACAATGCTGTATCGATTACAGCCACGTAGTACAACCAGTCAATCACACCGAATGAAAATGAAGCAGCTTCCAAAAATGTAATCTTATTTCACAGTGCACGATGACTGTTGTTTTTTCCTGTGTATTCTAAAATTTATTCTGAATATTCCCAAACCTTCAATCAATGTCAGGCTTCCTCATTTGTGCATAATTGATCAACTTTTGGACAAAATAAAAGTTTTAAACTGAAACAGTATTACCTGTTATTTGATATTTTTTGTTGAACAAACAGAGCGCTATGGAAACATTTGTTCAAATGGCTCTTCTAGTCATATCATATTGATTGTTATTGCAGGATGGAGGAGAGTTGGCGTTTATTTCAGTTTGTCTGCACAACCATGGTTTGGTACACAGATGCACTCAAGGATCTATAAATAGGTACATTTTGTTCTCCAATTTTTAGAGAGCAAAACATTGATTTTTTTACAAACTGTACATAGCATTTAATGCACTTTAATGCTCTCAACTAGTGACAAACAAGAGCTTTGGGAAAAGAATGTTAAATCTACTTGAATTTAGCATCAGTGTTTTACAATCAGGTTCTCTTAAAAATCATTCATGTTATTGTCTTAAAGCTTAACTCTAACTTCTGAATCTGACCCGTACATGTATTTTGCTTTTTTGATTAAAATGTTTTTTAGATCTACGAAAAAAATTAAGTACATGTAGCTGCTTTAACCCTAACCCTCCTCAATCCTCCAACAGGTGAAGGATTGAGGAGGGTTAGGGTTCAGCTACATTTTCATGATAAAAAAGTCAAACCCCAAACTAGTCTGATCCTTGATATTTCCCTGAGTGTTGATTTTCAAGGATCAGTGTGGTGTGTAATTAGTGAATTTGCAGACAAAATCAAAGATATTTAATTTTGGCAACGGCATTTCACTTTTATTTTGCTTCCGTACTAAAGTGTATAATGTTCTGTTTGGTAGGCCACATGCCTTTCCCAAGCTGCCTTTCTTGTTTTATCCCACATGCTTGTCTTAAAATCATTTTTTTCAATTCTGGAATAGACTTTACATACCACCATCTTGCAAGCCCAAACCTGATGACATAGATCCACAGTATGGTAAGTAATGGCGTCAGTACAGACTTCCTCAAAAACTTAAGTATCCTTGGCAAATCGAAATGTTCCCAAAACCCTTTTCAAACCAGTCCAGTCCTAAACCAGTGCCTGAGGAAAGTTTGAAATCTGAAACATTGGTTTGTTATTCTGCAATGTATTCTGGGAATGCATGAACAGTAAGCTAGGAAATTCATGCACAAAGCTTAGGCAAGGTGAACCAGTCAAAATTCTTAACCCCCCCCACTACCATCGTCACCAATTATGTGCTCACATTTCAGATCTTACATTTGCTGTAGCCAATTATGGTGTGATTATTTACTTAATCAGTAGCTGGCATATTCAAAAAGACAAAATTATTATTCTAGTGAATTTCTTGCTGAGGCTGGAGGTATTCTTTGGACGCATGAGCAGTGTTTGCAACACTGCTAACAGTACTGTGCATTTATGGATAATGGAGAAACGGAATGAAATAATAATGACTGTATTTATGTTGCACCAACTTACCAGGGAAACAAGGCATTTCTTATTATCCACAAACTTTCCTTAAACCATATCAGCTCTCTCTGGGAGCATACAGCTCCAGGCTGCCAATCTAACACAACAATCATATCTACCCTCAGAGGTACCTATTTACACCCCTGGGTGTAGATAGGCAAATGGGAGTAAAGTGATTTGCCTAAGGACACAACATGTAACTAACAACTGGATTTGAACCCGCAGCCCTATGTTCATGAGTCACAGACTTAACCACTAGGCCACGCTTTACTGAAGTAAAACAGATAGCCAGGGACCCTTAAATTAAATTCAACCCCAGCATTCAAAGATAAAAAATGAAAGACACATAAAACATGCACTCAATTTTTTTATTCTGTCTTACCCAAATGCTGATTGAAGACTTCTGCACATGAAAGTAAAATCTGTTAAAGTGTTCCATACAGCCTGGTTTGTATTACAAACATTTCTCAACAATTTCTTTTCATTGTCTGAAAAGTTATTTTGTGCAAGTAATGTGTACAGGGGGTTAGCGGAGCCCATTCTAATAAACCTGGGACCAGTTCTCAAGTGGTCAGGTTTTCAGGAACCCGGTTTCAAAGCACACCCTGAATTGTTAATATTGTTTGCATGATAACTTTGGGCAACATGCCATGGATTTGAACACATCACCATACCTACCATACTTTTTACCTCCTCCCTTCGATACTCGGCTTCTACCCTCATTTTGTCAGTCTTAAATCTTATTCTATCAATCTTTTATTTCAGTCCTTTTTGCTAGTTGGGAATAAGATTCAACTACTGCTCTTAAAAGCCTTCAAAATCCTTTTGTGTTTGTCCTGGATATTTCCATCCAGTGTCATTGGGTTTCTTACCTCCAGGTCAGCTTGGTTTAGAAATTGGACACGTCAATGTCTGGTGTGCTCAATTATATTTGTTGCTGTGGTCTGTGATTACGCTGTATCAGGCCCAAGAATGGTGTCAAATTATTCTTGCTTATTGTATTTTAGAGT